CATGATCTCAAAGAAATTATACTGGTGTTACATATACAAAACGTAGACCTAAATACAATTTAACTTTTGGAAAACGTATTAGTAAACAAGAATATATAAATTGTTTGAGAGACCATACACTATCATTAATTGTATATTGAAGATTGTTTTTACCTTAGGTTTGGATTAATTAGGGAATATTACTCTCTTACATTTATCTCATATTTGTGACTTATGTTACATTGAGAATAACATAGAATCTGTTAGTTACATTAAATATAAATAAAAACACATAAATAAAATGAATATTCACTTGGTATTGTTTCCTTATATCTACCCATTGTTGTTTGGGACTGCAACTGATCAGTCACTTGTTAACATATCTGCATCCTGTGTGGATTACCTCAATATTGCCTTAAGTCTCAAGCTTTATAAGTAAAGATGGATAGTGGCTAACAGTGGAATTCAGGACGTGTGTTTTGTCATATTTCAGACTCATAATTCAATTCCATGATTTACATCATAAACTGAGTTGAAAAATTGTTAAGAATTAGAAAGCATTAAATATCTGTTTCGTTAAAAGTCCCCAACACTAGAGTAATGATCTTTTGCTTACTAATGATTTATTTCAAGAGGGGATTACTAAAGTTTTAGTGAGTATTTGTGATCGAAAGATCCGCATTACTGAGAAATCCCATAATAGGACAAAATATCTGTTGAATGCTTTTTATTGGTTATTCAACTATGAATAGTTCATGTTACAAACATTATAAACTAATAATAATTTAGATCAATATATAATTACTATCTACTTCACTGTCATAGAAATAAGATTACAGTACCGAAAGGCATTGAAACATAATTTCAAAACTAATTAAAATCAATCATCAATTGTTTATTTACTTATAGACCTTCAAGTTTAAATGATCAAATTTATATTCTTATCAGAAGGGGGTTTCGTGAAAAGTTTAGTAATTTTATAATTGAATTAATGAGTCAATTAAAGCTAGACCACCATGGAAAACCTGGAAGCACTGGAAGGCCGTTTCGTCCTATTTTCGGACTACCCAACAGTGTGAGTTCATGATCCGCAGATGGGATTCGAATACAGAACCTTTGGTTTGACTCAAACGCTTAACCTCTAGGCAAGTGAGCCGGTATCCATCGGTGTGAATGTTCAACTTCAACTAATCCATGAAATTGCGCGACCGTCCACCATTGTCTTCAGTGAGTTGCTATCTCACAACAGACCTGGTTGAATTGCACTAATCACTGCTTCTCACTAGAACTCCAGGAAATACTTCTTGAAACCAGTCACTAATGAGCACATTTCGTGGATTGGTTGAAGTTAGTCATTTACAACGTTGAATGCCGACTGGCTCAGTGATCTAGTGGTTAAGCGCTCGCAAACCAGACCGATAGATCATGTGTTCTAATCTCGCGAAGTGGGATCGTGGGTGAGCACTACCGAGGAGTACCATACTAGGACGAAACGGCCATCCAGTGCTTCCAGGTTTTCCATAGTGGTCTAGCTTTAAATGACTCACTTATATTAAAATTTCTGATCATAAGAGAGTAAGATTTTGATAAGGTTAATAAAAATGTTTCGTAAATACTTTTTTTATTAAAAAGACTGTGCTTCATCATGTTTGTTTAAAGAAATCAGTTAGAATCAATTCGATGACACTTTGAAAGTATATTTTACGTTTCTGTTCTACTGAATACATGTTTCTTTTAAAAGTATCATCTCTTAATTTGTATTGTTGATCATTTAAGTAGTAAACACTTTAATGATTGTTTACTCCATAGTACTTATTATTTACATTCACTATGTTGGAGTGTACTAATCGGTATGAAATATTAGTTCATAAGGTCATGTCAACTACCATATAAGTATTAAAATTATTTTTGGAATTATGACTATTTACTTTCAAATGAAGCATTCTTGATTTAACTGATCAATAGTAAGGTGTCACTTACATAATTTTTATTGTTAAGGGAGTGTAATTCAGGTAAAATATATTTTGCTACTAGTATAGAGACACTTCATCTTAAATTACTGTCACAAGCTCATAAATTCATGATTATTTGATCTATTCTCAGAATACTTTCGTTTAATGTTTACATTGATATGAATTTGCTAACCGGTCACATATGTAGTTCCGTATACGGTGTATAAAAAAATAATAAAAATGTATTTAATCATTCTCAGCATAGGTTTAAATTACCCCATTGTTGATGTTCTTAAGTGAAGTTAATCAGTTTTTGTTGGCTTATGGGCATCCAGTGCGGATGGTATCAGTTTAGGCAATAAAGATTGATTGAATTGAATTAAGAATATTAATAACATAATATTTGAAATCTATACTAATAATGATCTAAACATTATACCTTTCAAACAAGTAAGTCATTATCTGGACTCAGTAGCTAAGTGAATATCGCGTTAAGCATTTGAAACAAAAAGTTATTAGTTTTAGTTCCGTTGTAAGCATCAACACAGATGTAAGTACATTCAGTTGACGAGTAATATATGTTCTGAATTCCACTGATAGACACTATTCAACGATTCTATAAACAATGTTTTCATTACTGAATATCAAATGATTTATCATTATTGAATTTATAAAATGAAAAGAAAAAACAAACAGACAAACTTAGAAGGATACAAATACTTCTATTTATTGATATTCCCTTTTATATCATTGAACATAAACATTCAATTGAAATGAATCGGTCTTTTATGGAAAAGCAACCTAAATAATGGAGCCTTTTTTTATACAAGGGCGTTAATATTTTTAACTATAAAAGATAATTAACTTTTCAATTTCTTGGCGGTAAGCTCGATTCAAAACTTTTATTGTTATGTGAAATAATTAATACATGTCAAAGAATGACTTATATTTGTTGAGCTCAATATGAAGTAGTTAGTTTTAAATAGCCTATTGATATTTGTTCTATAAAAGAAGCAAATATACTTTTAGCAATTTCTAACTATAGGGAATTTACTGCATTCCTACAGAAGTCCACTAATTATTAGGCATGAAATTTTGATAGAATAGTTGTTATTGGTTTAGCACTGATTTGTAAAAAAAGATTGTTTGAATGACAATTGATTGATCACTGAGTGGCGATCAATGTCATGCGTGTTTAGTCCTTATTTAGTCCAGATCGAATGCTATCGACCATGTTACAATGTGGCCACCAGTCTAGGTGTTTCGACACTGCGGGCACTATATATTGAGATTAGATGGTGGTTAGAGGTGACACGAGATCGAATCCACCAGGTAGCACCAGTTCCCTCAAGATTACAGGTACATCTTGCTGACGAATGCCAAGTAGCATGAAACCAGTGTCCAGGGTTTCCTGTCGACTACCTCCAACCATCATCTAATTTTCGGAATGATATTTGATAATAACAATAATAATATTAACAACGATATAATACAAACCATTACAAATTTAATTAGAATTCATACCCTTTGTATAAATGAGTGGCTACATGAACTCAGTAGGTAAGTGAATGAAACGAAAGATGTTGGGTTCGAATCCCAACATGAACATGAACTAAGCTAAAAAGTGAGTACCGAATGCAATTGTTAATTGCATTTCATCTTTTTTTATATTTAAAACTCATCATTATGCTTTTAAATAAAGTCTCTAGTTTATAGATTTTCTAAAAAATAAATTAAAACTCACTTGAAGGAACTTACAGTATTTTCACAAGACATTCATCGTTCCAACCTATTCTAATCTATAGTACAGTAGTTTCTTAGTGATTAAAGTCTTCAATCTTCAACAACTAGGTTTTAGGTTCATACTCTGCTTTAGTTACTTCAGTACGAGCAACCAATTAGTATGATTAATCCCCAAACTTAGAATATGGCATATACTCAATTAAATAGTGAATGAATGAACTATTTTATCATTAAATAAAGTAGTATATTCTAAAAATAGGAAAAAAATATTGTTGTTTCATAAACGCACTTAGCAATACCTGTGTGTTTTTTTGGGGGGGGGAGGGGGAGGGGATTGAAATATTTCGAATCGATTAAATTATCAATACTGTTCACAGGATTACATAATTTTGTACTTATACATAGTGAAACCTTCAAATGTGTTATATTTTGATCCTCCACTTCTTCTTCTTAGTTTTTGAAGTACACTAAAAAAAATATTCTTTCAGTATTTGTCAACAAATAAATCTATCCAAATGTCTTTTATAATATAATCACTTAAAGGTTGACCAATTAGTTTCTACATAGAAACTGATAAACACTTATAAATGTAAATAAAGTACTAATATACATTTTTTTAAAAATCGGAATTCCTAATTAACCAATATGAAAATGACAGTATGATAATGATAAAAATGAATAGAGTATCGTATTATATTCAACTATTTTTTCTTTTCTTTTCATATAAGATATACATGACAGTTGGTTTAATAGTCAGCTTGCTGTATCCATTTCTCGCTTTTTTTTCTTTTTTCGGAACAAAAAATGTAATCTAGTTATCACATGATACTAACAGTTGTCGTTGTTGTTGTTGTTGTTATAATCAAGAATTTTCATTAGAAAAAAATTTTTTGTGTTTTTTCACAATATTATTCCATGTTGTTTACAAAACTTAACACTATTTACCATAATCATTAACAGAATTCAAAATGTTCCTTAGGCAACTAAAAGAAATAAAAAGTTGAAGGAGGGGGGGAAGAATACAAAAAAGAAGAAGAAGAAAAAGAAAGCCATGATACACTGTCTGACATATTTGTAAAACAAAGAAAAAATAATAATAAATACGTAATTTTCCATATTTCATAATAAATATGAATTTTTTTGTTTGTTTGTTTGAACATTCACTGTCGATTTATTGTTTAAATATTTAAAGAATTTTGGCGCGCTCACTGAATGAATACATACAATACTAATAAATAAATAAATATTAGGGTATAATAAAGAGAGAAGATTCTTTTGTTTTTAATTATAGAAATAACAATTTCTTAGTCTAAACTTATTGAAATAATGTGTGAACTGTGGTTGTTGTTCTTGTCAAATAGTTTCATATCAAGTACTCCTCCTCCTCCTCCTCCTCTTCCTACTACTACTACTACTACTACTACTACTACTAATAATAATAATAATAATAATAATAATAATAATAATAATAATAATAATAATAATAATAATAATAATAATAAAATGTTTGTTCCACTTAAGGATACATGTTTTTACTAGACAGTTTAGTACCAAATTTACATTTATTGTCGAAATGCCTAGTTGATATGAAAACAATTGTGGATTTTTGTTGATTCTTTTTTTATAGTTTTAACGATAAATTTTGAGGGTTAGTATATGAAAAACAAATGGTAATTGAATAACACGAAATTCAATGAAATGATCATTTTTCAACGAATTTATTATCAAGCTGTACAATTGTATATATATATGAAATTTTTCTATTGAAGTACTAATTCCGTGAAGAAATGTGAACAGGAATAACCTAGATGGTGTAATAGAAAGAATACATTGGATATACAGTATGAAATATATTGACGAAGAACTCGCATTCCTCAGGAAAACTGGCTAAAAATGGCTAATCAGACCGCTTCTTAAATAAGAATATGAAAAGAAGTAGTCTTGACAAGGAATCTGGTTGTTCCGTCCCAAAGAACAACCTTAATATAAGTTTGAAATTTAAAGGTGATCGAACATCTGATGTAATCAAAAATAGTTTAACGACAGAGACAAAAAGAACATTCTATGCAGCAAAACTGCGATTAACCTTCACTAGTAGGAATTTATTTTCTTTATCCATAAAAGATAAGCTTCTGCATCTGGTCACCTCCATGTGCATCTACCAGTTCACCTGCTCTTGTGGAGCAAGGTATATTGACCGTAGCCAGCGCTCGCTTTCAACTCGGATACGGGAACATGTCCCAGTGTGGTTCTACAAGGGTGAAAGGGAAGCAGTTAATAGTTTTATACTTGAACATCTAGTCGACTGTAATCATTCTACTGATCCACAGTTTGATTTTAAGGTTGTGTATGTGGTTCGTTCAAATCTATCTAGATCTCTTCGTATCCAACTTCTAAAAGTAACCGAAGCTCTTACCATCCATGAGCTCAAACCACAAGAGAAGTACGTCTTATCGTTATTGTTACTTTGACCTTAATATTATTATTATTATTATTATTATTATTACAGCATTCCCCTTATCTTATATTCTTATTATTTTATTCATAAATACTCATCATATCACCTTATTTTTATATCTCTATGACCTTTAATGACCTTTAATTATTGTGACAAAAACATCTTAATCATCTTATAATATTCACTAAATCTAATGTTACTATTCATATTACGTAATCTAGTATTATAATCTTTCTATTACATCATCTTGGTTATTCCTGTTCATATTTCCTCACGGAATTAGCACTTTTACAAACTATTTTCATATATATACTATTGTACAGCTTGATAATAAGTTCGTTGAAAGGAGATTCCTTCGCTGAACTTCGTGTTTTCAATCTTTAATGTTTAAATGAGAATTACCTGTCAAATGGTAATTGGTTTATATGTTATTGAAATATGTGCTCAGTTTTTATAAGTGAATACTCTTTTTCATTCAGGTATGTAAAAAAAGCTAAAACATCTTAATAAAATAAATTATCTCTGGCTGTAACCATATTTAAACTTAAATATAATAATATAGACTAATTTTACAGGTTACTACTGTCTGATCATAGATGTCTTCGAAGTATCATTCGTGTATTTTGGAACCATTGAGTAACGAATCATGATGTTAGGCAAATGGTGTTACATAAATATAGGAAGGTGAGTGATGAGATAGAAAATCTTCATCATTTGAGGTGCCTGGGACAAAGTGTACGTATACTCAACCATCGCCTACCCCAACGAGCGATGTTGAGTGGTTCAAGAGTAGAGTAGTAGAAAACTAAGGGTAGGGGGATTAAACCGAAACTTGACATTAAGCTGTGTAATTACCGACGCTTGAACCCAGCCATTTTATTGGATATAGACTACTTGATTGAAGCCTGTGTGATTATTATGATCTACAGTTAAAGATATTAGGTGACTTGGCTCAGAAACGTTCACTACGGCTCTAGTGCATTCATTCTTTGTTTTCTTTTAGTATCTGGGTGTTGAAATTTCTTTACACTTATTTTTCTTTCCCTATGCCTATTCTACTACTACTACTACTACTACTACTACTACTAATAATAATAATAATAATAATAATAATAACAATAATAATAATAATAATCATAATACTGATGTTTCTACTATTACTTATTACTACATACAAGTTCGTCGTTTATATACAGAAAAATATAAGCTCCATATAGTCTAACATTTCACATGCCAATTTAAATATACTCACTTGAAGTACAGGTATGTTTGGTTGATCCTTCATGAATAATGTCACTTAGTTAAATGATTCATTAAAATACGTTAATTTACATCGAATAAACTAATCGTTATATGAAATCTTTTACTTATTATCTATCATCTTAAAATATCCATAAATAATTTATTTATTTATTTGAACACATAAATATTAGTACAAAGGGGCACTGAATACATATGCGCCTCACAAGTTACTTCATTTGTGAGTGGGTTGTAATACTACCCGGGTGCCTAGACCGAAGTAGATGGTTTCCTTAGGGGGGGGGGCACACTAGTAGACTTCGACCTAAACGTCTGATCCACAAGAAAGTGGCACAACGTCAGGAAATAATTTCTAACAATTAACCAGTTGAACAGTTTAAACAAATAAAAATGTTGAAATGTTCAAACAGTAATTACTCAGTCTACTATTAAGATTTTATTTATTACAAAATTATTTGTGATTCAGATGATTTTCTAATTGATTGTCACACTTTTACAAGATTGGTCGTTTTCATTATTTATGTGGTTATTGTCATAAAACATAATAATAGATACTTTGAAGAATAAATGTGTAATGAGTTAGCACATATAAACTTCTTTGAAGAATTTTAGATTGTCAGAAAAGTTCAGGAATTTCTTTCATTTATATTCGATCTGCGATGTTTACCGGTGTAGGAGTAGATTGTAAGAGTAAAGGCGTGGTATCAGTTTATAAAATTATGGACTGGTTGATTGAATCATAATAGTAGATGTAAACTATCTGAATAGAGTATGCGTGCTTATGGTAATCAATAATAGGAGATGATGGGTGAAATGACTTAGAATCGATCGTGTTGGTATAGATTCAACTTTTCTTTTTCTTCCCTTAGATCTGGCAATTTAAATATTAATTTATGCTTCTTTGTTTTAAAATTCATTCTTCCTTCTCAAATCGTATTAGCTATGACAAATAGGTTTTAATATTACTGAAACTGTTACTACATCCACTACTCTGGTATTTGTCATCATAGCTTCATTATACTGCGCTGACATGGTTTGGCAATATATACCTAGGTGAATATTTTCAGGTTCCACTTTGCTGATCATTGATTAACTTTCTGTGTATGATATCAGTTTCTCAGAAAAAAGAATTGAAATATTATTTTTAATTCGTTAAAGTGTCAAAAATTTCTCCTCTTTTTATTTTTCGTGACCCCTAAATGGTTTCCAGGAAATCCTAATTTCTTTAAGATGATTAATGTCTTTTCATAATTCAGTTGTAAGCGTTTTAATCTTCCCGTTTTTAGTGTTAGGGGTTAAAAATAATCAATCTTTCCGATACATGTACATTCTGAGCTGACTGCATCGATATTACTGTCAGTCATAAGCTACATGGACTCAGTTTCAAAGTAGAATACGAGTAAAATTCACTGGCTTAATGTTTCGGAGTGGACATCAACATCGAAGTGCAGATATATCTATCTAAGTCCCATATAAGATGAAACGTGCATCTTGAATCTCACTGGTATCCACATTCCAAATATATTGAAACCATTGTGATTATTGTATATATAGAAGATAGTATCAACACTAAATGTCTAAAAACCAATTGTCAGTAGTTCCTTCAATTTCCATCAGTAGATGAAACAGACAACTTGCTAACTGTCTATATTAATTTGTTGTAGTTATTCAAGCCATACAAAAATTTACAATCCAGTAGTGAACAATCTTTTCATAATAGATATGTATTTTAGATTCCATTGTTAGCAACTATCTTTGCTTAAAAGAGGTTAGTCTTTTCGCTTCATATATTATTTTACATGAGTTTGATTAATTGTATCATTTGGAGATGTAATATAACAGGTATTGTTTTCACTGAGCAAATTAGTTACCAATGTCTAATTGATTATGTAATATGTTTTACATTTAAAATTTCGTATATCCATTTAATCAGAAGACAGTTTGATGATATATAGTTCGTGGTTTAAACTACGAAAATTCAACAGTTTACACAAAACCCTAAATTGATTATTACCATGTACTCACTTGTGAACAATATAGACACTGTGTTTGTTAATCACAAGATGTATTACTTTATATAGTAGGTGAGCTTTGAAAAGAATTTGTTAGAAATTCAATAAAGTTTTTATAGCAACTCTGTATAACTAAACATTAACCGTACGTTTCTATACCTGGTAATATTGTGTAGTTAGTTTATGAATCAATGATTTATTTTTACCGCTATAAATGGAAAAAATTACTTTGAATATGTTCTTATTTATTTTTATATTTTCCCTGAATGATCATTCATACTACTACTACTACTACTACTACTACTACTACTACTACTACTACTACTACTACTACTACTACTACTACTACTACTACTACTACTACTACTACTACTACTACTACTACTACTACTACTACTACTACTACTACTACTACTACTACTACTACTACTACTACTACTACTACTACTACTACTACTACTACTACTACTACTACTACTACTACTACTACTACTACTACTAAAGTTGGCATTTGGTGCTGATTGCTTGTATCTTATTCAAATTTACTAAGTAATTTTGTTACGATATTTAATGATTAGAATTACTTGACAGGAAACCTTTTTTAAACTAGGTTTCGTGCTGTTTGACATTCCTCAGTTAGGTTCAACTGTACTCTTGAGGGAAATGGTATTCCTTATGGATTCCAAATATGAATTCCTTAATTCCACAGTCCGAAACTTTACCACAGGCTTATTTAGGCTTCGATTGGTTTTTTTGACTAATGTTATAGTTTTGTCTAGTTTTTTCAGATACTTAATGAATAGTTCTATAACACTGTGCATAATATATTATTGTGTATATTTGGTTTTCCCAATGACTTCAAATACTATGCGAAATTTTAATGTCATTATGAAAGTAGAGTTTTTGTGAGATAAAATTAAACTAAAAAACGTTTGGTGACAATATGTGCCTCTTGAATGTCTCTGACGCAAGCAACTAGGGCAAGAATGATAGGAACGAGTCCAGTGTATTGGCCAAAAATGTGGTCGGTGGATTGTGAACTGACAGGTTGGATTTCAGAGATTGTTTGTCAATCATGCGATCCACTGGTGGGATACTCTGACATTTTCTTTTAAGATAGCTGGTTCCTTCAGTGTTATGCTTTGTTTATTGGAAAATCCCTTTTGGTTAGGGATCGAGGTTCTCAAACGTAACAAATATATCTAGATAATGGAAGTGACGCAAACCAACATATTATGGCTAAGAGGTGAATCGGTCAGTTAATTGTTACACGTAAAAATACTGAAAAATTAAACTACCTGATATTCGCTATTTTGTGGACGATTGACACAAGAGACTAGGCTTAAACAATGAATATACGTCCAGAATATTTTATTTATTGTATACATGGAAATTACATTGTTAATGTAGATGGCGAAATTGTACGCTATCACCAGTGCTTCATTTTTTAAAAAGACTGCTTGAAGTTTAGATGGTGGTTAGAGGTAGTCAACAGGAAACCTTGGACCCGGGTTTCGTGCTACTTGGCACTCGTCGGCAAGGTGTACCTGTAATCTTGAGGGAACTGGTGCTCCCTGGAGGATCCGATCTCGTGTCACCCAGCTTCACAATCAGAGACGTTACCACTGAGCTATCCGAGCCGTGACTAACCTCACCTTACGTAGGACTGAGATGTAATCACAATAGATTGATCACTGGGTGGTGATCAGTGTCATGCTTGTCTAGTCCTTATTAGTGCAGATCGAATGCTATCGATCATGTTGCAATGTGGCCACCAGTCTAGGTGACTTGACACTGCGTTTCCTGCTGACTACCTCAAACCACCATCTAATCCCAATATATAGTGCCGCAGTGTCGAGTCACCTAGACTGGTGGCCACATTGCAACATGATCGATAGCATTCGATCTGCACTAATAAGGACTAGACCAGCATGACATTGATCACTACCCAGTGATCAATCAGTTGTGAGACTGCTTGAAGTGCTGGAAATGTGGTTAAAGATTTTTGTCAAATATTTTTTTATGTGATATATTTGTAAGCGTGTTTTTTAGTTAGGAATGATTAATCATTCAGTGTTAATCCAATTCTATAGGTCAAGTTGTAATGCGTTTACCAGATTGAATAGATTGATCATGGTTAGCGGTGGAATCCGGACACGTGTTTGTCAGCTGGATGCTCGTGCATCCCTGAATCGATGTCCATTCTAGGGCTCAGATCCAGTACCTTTCGCTCTATACGTCGTCGTGTTATACAATTAATCACTGAGTTCAAATAGTCTAACCCCATTTATTCTACGTAAACATTTTCGTAATGGTTATATCGAGATGATTAACACAGGATGCATATAAGCCAACTGTGATTGATCAGATTTCAGTCAAAACACTGAAACGTAATAAACCAAATCATTACAAATTGAATTAAAAAGTGATCATTAGCTTGAATCCATCGAAATCATATACACTATGATAAGATGTTATATGATAAGAAGCAGTTTACAAGAAACTCTGGACTCATGTATCCTATTAACGGATTCACTTATGTGAAGAGAATTGATGCTCCATTTAGAAACTGAACGTATATCACCTAAATCCTTACAATCTAAATATGTTAATAGTTGAGATGATGAGTCAATTGAAGCTAAACCACCATGGAAAACCTGGAAACACTGGACGGCCCTTTCGTCCTATTGTGAGACTCTTCAGCAGTGTGCATCCACGACCACGCCTTGCGAGATTCAAAACCAGGATCTATCAGTATCGCGCGTGAGCGCTTAACCACTAGACCACTGAGCCAGTCGGCATCCAACAGTGTTAATTTTTAACTTCAACTAATCCACAAAATTGAGCAACACATCCATCATGGAAAATCTGGAAACACTAGGCGGCCTTTTCGTCCTAGTACGGGACCCCTCAGCAGTGCGCATCCACGATCCCGCCTCGTGAGATTCGAACTCAGGATCGAACCCAGGACCTATCAGTCTCGCATGCGAGCGCTTAATCATTATACCACTGAGCCAGTCGGCATCCAACAGTCTTAATGTCGAACTTCAACTCATCCACGAAATCGCGCCACCATACACCATTGTATTCAGCGAGCTGATATCTCACAACAGACCTGGTTGAACTCCACTGGTAACGAATTCTCACTTGAACTCCAGGAAATGCCTCTTGAAGTCAATCACTAGTGAGCAGATAATTATTATCAGAAGGTGTTTTATGGAGATTTATAGACTGGTCTGGGTCCTGTGTTCGAATCTCACGGGGGGGAGGGGGCTGGATCGTGGATTCACACTGCTGACGAGTCTCATATTAGAACGAAAAAGCCATCCAGTGCTTCCATGTTTTCTAGGGTCGCCTAGCTTCAATTCACTCATGATTTCAACTAGTGAAATTTCTAAAAAAAATCTCCACAAAACCCCTTTTGATAATTAATTATTTATTAAATATATGCTCTTTTCTTAATTATAATGAATATATATTTATATATAAATACATTATCCTCTACTTAAAACTTTGTTCACCATCCAACCTTGACCTAGTTTATAGAATAATTTGAGATTTGTTATAAATGAATAGTTTATCAAAAAATTTTTTACATGACAAAAAATGAAATCAACATGACAACACAGAACATAGCAACATAACTTGCAAGAAAATATCACCACATATTGACCAATTTAATTATTACTCATTAAATTATATTAATGATTCATTTACATTGTTTTTTTCTTTTTTTTTTTGATAAAGGATTTTTTTCTCTTTTCTTTTTTCTCATTTTTGTTGTTGTTGGAATTTTTCTAAATTAAAATAGAATACACGCCCAAATGTAAGAAACAATAAATAGAATCGACATTTGTTTAGTTACAATTATAAAGTGAACTAAACTTTATCGTTTACAAAGTTATGTATACAATCATCTTCTATGAAGGTAGTAGTTTGTTAGGTGAATAGATTAAAAAAGAATGAATCAATGTTCTGTTTTCTTTTTTACATTGTGTATTGTGATCATTAGATAAATAAAAGATAATAGTCAGTTATTGTTCAGACTTATGTGAACAAGGTGCATGTGTATGTTTATGTGTGTGTGTGTGTGTGTGAATGTACATTTCACTAGATAGTTTACAATTGTAATCTTCAAGAGACTAGTGACATGTTAAATAGAGGAGTTTATGAATTGATTAAATTGCTTTTTAGCTAAATTTAAAGATGGGATACATGTTCATGAATTTGTATTTGTGAAGATTAAATTACGTGTAACATCTGAGACCTATTAATGGAGTAATATTATCTATATATTCTTATGGTATAACTATTCAGTAATTAGAGTGTGTATATCTATATTTCCCCTGTTATAAGCTTCGTTTTGACCTGTAGATTATTATTGTACGATTTACTGTTCTTAGGCTATGTTCATTTCATTGACTACTGTCTCCCACATTTACAGTCAGTTTTGGGTATATTTTGTACAAGTGTTATTTTCTATTTTATGGTGTGATGCGGTCTGTTTGGTTGATATATAAACCCAGTATGTCTGAAATAAATGATTCGTATAGTGGAGGCTGTTGTTGGCATTCTGGGCTCAGCTGAACGAGCTAGGCGAGCAACGGACCAATAGGATGCTAGGCTGATCAGACCGAACGAATGTCATTGGATTAGTATAGTATAAGGGACAATAAGTCGTATTTTGATTGGCGAATAAATTACGTGATAACTAGCGGGCCATAAAGACACAACAGTATTCCACCTAACTTCCAGTGTTTAACGTGTACAATATCCCATAATTGATTTCAAGAGTGATATATTGATTAGTCCTTATTAGAATAAGTACATTTTGTATGAAATGCCTCCATACAGTCATTATATCACAATTTGTTTACATTGTTTAAATTATATCCAACTGTGGAGTTTAGTGTTGAATAATTAGGACGAAACACGTCAAATGAATTCCACTGTCAGTCACAATCCATATATGCTTCAAATATGTAATAATGAAAATAATTAGTGAAATCACTCTAATGAGCTCCTCGTGTATGTTGACTTCTGTTGTAAAATGATTTCACTTTACTAGCCTTCTACTCCTCCCTCTATTTATTCAATTAATCATAGCTTATTTATTCGTTTCTCTTAGTTATCGATTCCTTGTGTTGTTTGTTGACTAAGTGTTGAGTATAAGATTATTATATCATTTGGTCATCTATTTATCAGCGTCCAGATCATTATTAATAGAAATTTAGTGATATGGTACATGTTGGTGAATTAGTACTCCATCTATCTTCCAGTGTTCAATATATCTACAATATCTGACATTTACCCACTCATTCATTGATTGAATACTTCACATGAGAGTATGATTCCATCTAAGAATTTCTTTTCAAACTGTAATTTGTCATTTGTTTACTTTTTTAATTGGACAACTTGAGATGTGGTACAATAGGCAATTTCCAGATAATGAATATAGATAGATAGATAGATAGATAGATAGATGGATAGATAGATAGATAGATAGATAGATAGATAGATA